ATGTCTTAACAAAATAAGAAAATGCCATGAAGGCTATATTAACCAGTTTGATGAAAACATTTCAAATTGTATATAAAACCAGCACATTGTACCCTATGATTGCATTAATGTACACAGCTATGATTTAATTAAAAAAAAAAATTCAGGCCAAATAAGCTATGTAATAGAATTAAATTAAAAACCAATGAAAGAAGAATCTCTGGAAAACTCTCAAATGTTTTGAAAATGTGATGGTTAATTTTAGGTGTTAACTTGACTAGGCCATGGGTTGCCCAGATAGCTGATACACATTTCTAGGTGTGTCTGTGAGGGTGTTCCCAGGAGAGACTAGCATTTGAGTCTATAAATTGAATAAAGGAGATTGCCCTCACCGATGTGGGCAGGCACCATCCAATCTGCTAAGGGCCACATAGAACAAAAAAGTGGAAGAAAAGCAGATTTACTCTGCTTGCGCTTGATGCCCTTGGACATGAGCACTTCTGATTCTGGGGCCTTTGGGCTCAGACTGGGACTGAGACCATTGGCTCTTTTGCTTCTCAGGCCTCAGTTTGTGTTGGAATCATATTGCCAGCTTTCCTGAGCAGATTTTTGAGACTCCATGACCAGGTGAGCCAGTCTCTTCCTCTGTGTGTGTGTGCACTTCAGTATAGAACCCTAATATAGAAACTGTGATATTCTTAAAAATCAAAGGAGAAATTAGAAAATACTTGCAAAATGACAACTCTACTGTTTATTTGTGTGTGTGTGTGTGTGTGGGGGGTTGTACATTATGCTTTTTGGTCATCTTAAAGCCCTTTCTGGCTGGTGACAGACTGCCACACTTGGGGCTAGCCAAGTATTAGAGGCAGCAAGGGCCTGGCAGGAGCATCCTTTGATATGCTCACTAACCACCCAGAGCTGCACCTCACCTTTGGCCCAGGCACCCCAGGAAGCAATGGTCCTCTGCCTTAACCATGTCAGTGCCAAGTGCTTACACTCCTGTGGCTTACAGCCAACCAAAATTATTTCAACTGGCCAATCCTGCTCGCTCTGTCCTGCTTTGTTTTATCGGAGGAAAGCCTAAGAAAGGTTCCGGCTTGGGTTTTTCCCTTCCTCCTCCTGTATACTGAGTACCTTGAGGCTTTCTGGTGTGGCCTGTGCTGTGCCTCCTATTTCTGGGACCTGTGAGTGTAATAAACTTGCTTTCCTGAGCCTCTCCTTTGTCTCCTTTGTGGCTGAACCTGACTGACCGTCACACAAAAAGAACAAAGCACAAAGACCCTACATCATCAAAATTTGTGAGATGCAACCAATGCAGTACTTAGAGGGAAATTAATGGCATTTAATAAGATTAGAAAAGAATGGGCCAGGCTTGGTGCAGTGAGTAGGGTGAGTAGGGTGTTGGCCACATACACCAAAGTTGATGGGTTCGAGCCTGGCCCAGGCCTGCTAAACAATAATGACAACTGCAACCAAACAATAGCTGGGTGTTGTGGCGGGTGCCTGTAGTCCCAGCTACTTGGAAGGCTGAGGCAAGAGAATCACTTAAACCCAAGTTTGAGGTTGCTGTGAGCTGTGATGCCATGACACTCTACCGAGGGTGACATAGTAAGACTCTGTCAAAAAAAAAAAGAAAGAAAGAAAAGAAAAGAATGGGCCAGGTGTAAGGGACTCCTGCTTATAATCCTGGCACTTAAGGCCAAGGTAGGAGGATCACTCGAGCTCAGTAGTTTCAGACTTGTACAAAGGGAGACCCTCTCTCTAAAAAAATAGAAAAATTGTCTGACTGTAGTAGCACACCCAGGAGTTTGAGGTTGCTGTGAGCTAGGCTGAGGCCATGCAATTCTAGCATGGGCCATAAAGCAAGACTCTTTCTCAAAGAAATAAATAAAAGAAAGAAAGAAATGATCTCAAATGACTTCAGCTTCTAATTCAAGGAAAGAAGTGCAACTAAAACACAAAGCAAAGGGAAAGAGGTAATAAAAACCAAAGCAAAAATCAGTGAGGAAACAAAACAATACAGGAAGCCAATGAAACTGAGAATGGGTTCTCTGCAGAGATCCAGAAATTGAGACAAGACACATTACCAACATCAGGAATGAGAGGTGACATTACTACAAATTGTACAGATATTAGAAAGGTGGTATTGCCAGGTACAGTGGCTCATGCCTATAATCCTAGGACGAGGCAGGAGAATCCCTTGAGCTCAGAAGTTTGAGAGCAACCTGAGCAAGAATGAGACCCCAACTCTATTTTAAAAATAGAAAAATTGGCTTGGCGCCACAGCACAGTGGTTACAGCACCAGCCACATACACCAAGGCTGACGGGTTTGAACCTGGCCTGAGCCAGCTAAAACAACAATGACAACTGCAACAAAAAATAGCCAGGCATTGTGGCAGGTACCTGTAGTCCCAGCTACTTGGGAGGCTGAGGCAACAGAATCACTTAAGCCCAAGGGTTGGAGGTTGCTGTGAGCTGTGACGCAATGGCACTCTACTGAGGGTGACATAGTGAGACTCTGTCTCTAAATAAATAAATAGAAAAATTAGGCAGGTGTTTTGGTGGGTACCTACATTCTCAGCTACTTGGGAGGCTGAGGCAGAAAATTTCTAGAACCCAGGAGCTGGAGGTTGCTGTGAGTTAGGCTGATGCCATAGCACTTTAGCTTGGGCAACAGAATGAGATGCTGCCCCCCCCCCAAAAAAGTATGACTAACAACTCGACCTACATACTCTTCCCCCCAAAAATCATTCTATGAAGAGAACATTACTTTGATAACAAAAAGTAGATGAAGACCTTTGGGGGAAAAGTAGAGACTAATATCCCTCATGAACATAGATGCAAAAATTCTTAAAACTTTAGTAAGTTGAATTAAAAAATTCATAAA